GAATCTTTCCTACAGTGTCAAAATGAATCCCTGGCATGAACCCCCAGTATTTTCTAGGCCAAACACAGTTCATATGGGGAGGGTGCCAGATCTTTTTGGCTTTGTTCTAGCCCTGTGCATAAAGGGGCATTGTAGAGCACATGTGGCTGCTCATTTGAAAGGAAGATGAAGGGGAAGCTGTTTTCCAGGATCTCTAGTCCACTTCTACTGATCTTATTGAGGATCCCCTGATGAATGACCAAAGAATTGCAGAGTTCAGGGTACACCTAAAGCTGCAATATAGTTGAAGTCTCAGCTTTAATAGAATATAATGTTATGGGGTTAATGTCAAGCTGTTTTTTTGTTTTTTTTGTTTTATACGGAATGTGTGCCTACAGCACAAGAAGGGAAAACGTGGGACTTGGGTACATAATTCATAGTATACTCAGCTAAAGATAATCGCAGTTTGTGCTTTTTAATTGAAGGTTGGGGGAGGGGGGCAGGAGGAGCAGCATTTCCAGTAATCAAAGGTTTCAGTGCCTACTGCACATCTTTGCCTTCTTTATGACCTCACAGATTTTACAAACGTGTACACCTATTAAAGAATCCATCTTTTCATAATGCAGAGTTTCATTGCTCTTGTTGGTGCAAAACCTTGTGTCATGCTATGCTTTCTGCTTTGGAGCTTAAGAGCCCAATAGTTCACACACATAGCACTCAATAAACTGTCAATATGAAGCCACTCACCAGCAATCAGTCCCACAATAGGGATGAACATGAGTCCGATCCCAATGTCTCTTATCTGCTGATTGTGCCTGACTTCCTCTTCCTTTTGGGAGAGTTGCTGCTGCATTTCTCTGAGATGACTCTGAGCTGTTTCCAGCATCTCCTTAGACTTGCTTTCCTGACTTCTGTTGGAATCCAGCTGGTACCTTAAATTACTGAGTTGCTGGGCCTGTGCTTGTCTCTCCTCCTCCAAGTGTCTCTTCTGGGCTACCAGCTGGACAGATTGGGCATCGATCGTGCTCAGACCCCCCTTGAGTTCTTCCAGAGCCTTGTCCATTTCTTCTGATGCTCTTGCGATGTGCCCCTTCATTTTGTGACACACGCTCAGGTCTGTCCCAGCTTCTATCAGACTCTGAGCAAAGCTCACGAGTTCTTCCATGCCCGGCTGAAAATGGCGCTGGATGACCGACGGGCAAATCCCATTATTCCCAGTGGAAAGAGCCATGATGCAAAGAATCCTATAAGCAAAACATTGTGCAGTGAGTGAGCTTTGGTGTCTACAGGAGAGGGATTTATGACTCTGGGTGAAACCATCATCATCAGAGTACGCCTACAGACATGCAACAGGAATAATGTAAGGATACAGAACGGGCAACCAACACGATCAAGGATTTGGGGCACCTTCAGGGAATATATTTGTGCTTTTTGAAAAAAAATGTAGAACTATATCACACAAGACACAGTTAATCAAAGGAAATCATTGCTGTTATAATGTGGTGAAAGCTACTAGGCTTAGATGTTTTTATTTTTAAAATGCCTTAACACAGATTCAGAGGACAGGTCAGTCAATGACTGACAGTATGATAACTTATCCAGGATGCCCCTTCTTGGGTTCAAAACAGAAGCCATCATACCTGGTATAAAAGAAGCACAACAGTGAAGAGGGGGATTCGGAGAGGCCCTGAACTGAGACTTGTCTTTGCCTTGAATTTGACAAACCCAATATTCTTTCATTCCCAGTTCCAGGTCCACAATAAATGGGTACTGACCCATGTTGCGGTAGTACTGACAAACGATAGGAACCCTCCGATGCACCACTAGGAGCCCAAGAATTAAGTGTATTCCTAGTCCAACTTGAACCCCATAAGGAGAATGTTTGTGGTCCCTTTTGCAGACCTTTACCTGGCGGATCTGGTGGAAGTGTGCAGCTTCCGTCCCCTCTGAATGATCCTTTGGCAAAGAGATATGGGGTTTCGGATGGCTACCTACAGATACCTCGTTATTGGTGACAGCCAAAATATTGTACGAACTTTCATGGTTTTTGGAATCCTTCATCAGGCAGACGTTGCAACATTTTTAAAAGCTAAGGAGGAGAAAGGCAGTTTCTCATGCCAGCAGTGGTGGTATTGGATGTTGATCGACTCAAAGATTTGTTGAATTGTCGGAGGTGTTAGATTTCAGGACTTTGCACTCTGGCAAGAAAACACTAGCAATGGAGGGAAATCTCAACTGAGGAAATTAAATCCAGGACACGAAAGTTCGCACAACACTTATCGCTAACGTTAGGAAAGTTCTTGTTTATTATTTTAAAGAGAGAACCCATCCCAAAAGACTGTAATATTGTTGTTTTATTGTCTGCTTTTATATTTGAAATATGTATTTTTATTAATACATCTGATTTTACTTGTATGTGACAACCCATACTATTTGGTAAATCTGATGAATCTATATTTTCCCCTACCCCTCTTCCCTTCTGTACCCCACTTTTTCTTGAGAAAATTGAAAAATCTTTTAAAAAATAAAGTGTGTGCAATATTTTGTGTTACTTTAATCGACCTTAATACGAAGGTCTTACATGGATTTTCTTCCTAGTTCTGGAGTTTCCCTGGGCTGATATGGCTGTATCTATGGATTACCTCCCAAAGAGCATCAAATTTGCAAAAATAAAAATGTGTAGCCTGATTAACTTTCATAGAGGCAAACTTGCCCATAAACTGAACAGAAATACCACTCTCATACTGCCCCTTGTGTCTCCTAACTGCTGGTAGGGAATTTTTCAAGGCCCCCGCTTTATTAATCTATAGAGGTCATATAGCCACACCAGGGTAGAAGTTCAACAGTTTTTACTGAATATTCAGAGCATGCAAGTTACATTTGCCAAATGAGAAGAAATGGTAGAATGGTTGTCTACAAGAAGAATTTTCTATCACAGACTGATGGAGGACAGTTGCAACCGAGGTACAAGCAAATTAAGCAAAAAAAGATGTACTACAGTAAAGTATAACCACTAAATGTAATAACTGACAACACTTCAAAAGTTGTATTTTTAGCTTGCAATGAATAATTTAAGCGAAAATGGATGGCAATTTAAAAATGGAGGAATACTGCGTCCAGTTTGCTCAAAGTGCTGCAAATCATATGTTAGCTTTTCTGCACACAGCTGAGATTCTGCTTTGAGGCCCAACACCCACTGAAATTAAACAAGCAGTGGTTAGAATGCAACACTGACGGACCTTCTCAGGTCCCTGCCACACGAGGGACAAAAAGAACGGGCAAATTGCGGCTTTTAAAAGCCGCACCAAAATAGGCACGCGGCGGCGGGATCATACAGATCCCATGAGCTGCCGTGCAATTGCTCCCTGGCATGATCAGATGCCGGGGAGACCGGGGAGGAAGCCACGGGAGGCTGCCGAACTGCGCATGTCTGAGCATGCACAGTTCGGCCAGGTCCCGGGGATGCGCCGGCGGAAGAATGCACCGGCGATCCCACAGTCGGCTTTGATGCGACCGTTCAGAAAGAACCACCTTGGTAGGTGGGTTTTTTTGGTGCGGATTATCACCGGAAGGCCGGATCGGGGATGGGCATGCAACGCTTCCCAGATGTTGCGGTGGGATCGCGCCCATTTGCTCCGCCCCCGATCCGTCCCTCTCCCGGCCTAATCCTCTCGTGTGACTGGGGCCTCAATAGGGTCAACTAATATATTTTAGGAGAAAGCTTAAGCCCAGAAGCATATCAGCTGCGCCTCATTTATCAGAAGTGGCAAAGATGGTTCTGCAAAGTCCAGGTAACTTGCAAGGTCCTGACCTGAGGCTGCTGAAGTCACAACTGAACTCCATCCTGATTTTTAGACTGCAACAGTTCAAATGACTGCAGTCAGATTAAAGAATGGGTTGCTACATCACTCACCAAAGTGCAGAGCTTTCCTTTGTCCCAAAGAGACTGGCGGAAGAGGCTGTTCCTCCAGTGGAAAGCTCCTTGCACTGGAGGAAGTCTCCATACTGAGTTAGGTGGAGTTTATCCTGCTCTTACTCGAAGGATTTTAGAGTAGTACATTATTATGAGAGGTTAACAGAGACCGTCATGGGCCCAACCAAGGTCACCCACTGAGCTTCATGTCTGTGTGCAGCAGGGAGACTTTACTGCAGTTCAGGCTGGGAGCCCATAGACCATGTTATGTGATTTTAGAAGTAAAAGACAGCTTTTTCTTTTCTTAGATGGGATGTGACAAAGTCTGTATCAGGCCCAGACAAATTATGCTGGGTTTTGCCCTGGCTATAAAGGAAACTCTGAGGATGCAATCTTTTTGATAGCAGCCTCTATCATCTTTGGGCAACAAGCAGAGAAAAATAATGTACTTCATGTCCAAATCTAAATGAAGACTTTCTCTCTCTGCTCCCCTTTTTCTCCCATGTGAATTCTTCTTATTTTGTCAGTCAGTTTTTTTGTTTTCAGTCTGTGAGCAGAGAATTGGCTCTTAACAATGTGTTAGGTCAAGTAATCACATTCACATTGTAAACCAAATATGAGAAGGAAGACACTAAAGAGAAAGCGGAATTATATACCTAACTAAAAAAGACAACGCCACCTCCAAAATGGGGCTATGCAGAGACAAGGTAAATGTTTCTAGAAGTCCAGGGGATGGGGAAACCTTCACAGGACAAATATTCTGCAGTGGTATTTCGGGTTGCTGCAAGAACTCAGACTGGTGCCTGACATTGTATGGCTTCCACCAGGAGATACAGACCAGAGTAGGGGATGGGTTCAGGAAAGGCCACGAGGGAAGGTTGGAAAGAGACCTGGGAGGGGTTGAGAAGGAAATGGGAGCCAGCAAGGAGGAGCGGGGAAGCAAAGACAATGGGAAGGAGGAACCATGGGCAAGAGGAGATGGTATGAGGACGACGCCTAATGGATGGGAGTGGAGTACCCCTCACTTGCAAGTCCTCACAGGGCCCCTGCTTGTTGTATTCTACTGGGCATTGAACATGTCATATTGGGCACTGTTGGATGTGCTGTTCTAGACAAACTGATCCTCCTCCAAGACTGTCAGCTCTTTTCTCCCATCCTGCACTGCTTTTTCAATCATCTTTTCCTCTGCCACGCTGATTGGGGGAAGCGCAGCCCTTATCTCTCTGTCGATGGTCTTCATCCTAGCCTCCAAATTCCTATCAAATTCTTCTTTCTTCTCAATCACCATGTTATAAATGGCCTGGCGGGCCTCTTCGCAACCTTGGTTCAATGCATTCCGTTCAGAATTAAATTCTGGATCTGTAGGCTCCAGTGTAATAAGCCTCCCTAGGCTGCTGATCCGATCCATCAGGTACTTGTCAGATACTTCCGTATAAGTCTCAGCAATCATGTGGACTAGGTGGGACACATTTGAAGCACTGAAAACCTGATTGTAGACGGTGTCTTTCACATAGGACATGGATGAATACCCCTTGATCTGCTGGGCATCTGACACAAATTCCAGGAAATCATGAATCGTTTTACTTAAGCAAGTGTCAATGATATTGGAGATCATTTCAAAGAACTGGATCATCTTCTCCCATTGCTCCTTGACTTTTCCCATTGTATTCAGGCCTTCTCTCAGCATCTTTAGAGCAGATTCAAAATCAATTTCCTTCACCTTGCACTCCTCCATCAGGCACAGGATTTCTGCCAGCTCTTCGTTTTGCTTCTTGAAGTTCTCAAAGCTCTTCTGGTATTCCTCTTGGGTGGCCTTGTACATTTCCCGGCTCTGCTCTACTTTCAGATGTGCATTTCTCACCCCAACAGATCCTCCTGTTGACTCCTGCTGGTATTTAGCCATGTTGGGGGCTTTTGGTGTAAAGGAAGGAGCTTTAAGGATACGTTTGCTATAGGAATCAAATGCAGCTGCTTGTTGGTAAAGAGCCTCAATTTTCTTAACGATATCTCCTCCTTCTTCCTTTCCTGTTTCAGCTGCTGTAGCTATATGCTCCAGCTGTTCACAGATGTCTACACCATCTATACAAATATTTAGAGCTTTCTGTTTGGGTTGGCAGTTTTCCTCTTTGTCTATGTTATTCTTCAAATCAAAGAAAGCCTTCTTCACCCAGTTGGTTTTGACCTGCTCTGTCCTCTTGTCATAAACATTCTCAAGGTTGATTCTATCCTGCTCAACAACTTTCTCCTTGAGTCCTGATGCATACTTCAGCATCATGGATGAAAGGCTACAGATTGCCATGGCAGATAGTGGGCTCTGCGATTCTGAGTTTGGTGCATCAGGTGTATCGGAAGGACTTTCTTTTGTTGACCCCCCAAATTTGCCTTGCACGAAGTTGGCAATACCATTGACTATGCCAGTCAATGCATTTCCCAGACTCTCTACAATCGTCATCCCGATAGCTTCCCATCCTGAAGGGACTTCATCCATGGCTTTCTTATACTGATCAAATGAATCCTCAGTTTGCTTCTTCATTTTATTGTGGTATTCCTCGGCCATCTTCATGTTCTTTTTTGCTGTTTCTTCTCTAATTTTTGCCTGCTTCAGGGCAGTCTGCACCTCTTCCAGCTCCTTTTCATAACCTGTTTTGGCATTTAGACAGGCTTCCAAGAGTTCTTGGATGAGGGAGATCACATTCTTATATTTGTCCTTTACTTTCTTTGCTAGGGTTGTGCACTCAGTTACTATAGATTTCATGCTCTTTAGTTGTCCCGGAAGCATAGCATTGACTACCTCCTCCTCCTGGAAGAGAGTCTGAACAATGAGCTTCATCCTCCCTGGGATCCTTGCCGTCAGCAGTCGGATCCGGTCCATGTTGACGTGGGCTTCATTGAAGGCATGCCACCCTTCGTTGCTCACTTGACATAAGCAGGCTCTGAAGGACTCTGGGTAACTGATGTATTTGAAGCCATTGGGAGGTGGGTGCTTGTTGATGGAGAAGTCTCCTTGGCCTGCAGAAATGAAGATGAGTTGTCCTAAGATAGCAACGGAAAGAGGGGCTGGCATCAGGTACTCTTCCCAGTTGGCGTAGGGCTTCATAATTAACTCTGTCTCTTCTCTCACGTCTTGAGCTTTGCTGACTCTCATCTCAGCCTTGACCAAAGCTTGGCATTTGTCGTCTTCACTTGCCATGCTGTTAACCTGTGAGCCTAAACATATTTTAAATTGATTACTAAGAAGAACATATTTGTTAACCCCTCTTCCAGAGGCTACCGTACGAATCCCAGGTGCTTTATTTATTTAAATATTGCACTTTCCCTCAGAAAAGGCCAATGGTAGCTTACAAGGTCATATATCAAAGAGACATCCAAAAGAAGGTTTTTGCATCATTCTGCAACAACAGAAAAGCAAGGACCGCCAGTTGATCATACTGTGTTTGCAATTTTTAAAAAGTAATTAAAAATTAATTTTACAAAGCATTCAAACATGCCCATTTTATCTTTTTGTTTTAAAAATGATAATGTTGGTGCCCTTCTTTCCCTTTCAGATGGCCAATCTTAAGAGCTGGTGCTGCATATACATAGTCAGAAAATGAAAGAATGAAGGAATGAATTAAAAAATGAGTAAGAATCTGTTCTTCATAGGGTTGCCAGGTTAGGGTTAGGCATCTGAGCCGGCCTGGGCTGGGTTGCTAACTCTGATTTGGGAAATTCCTTGAGATTTGGGGGTGGAGCTTGGGGAGGGTGGGCTTTGGGGATTGGGATGTACCTCAGCTGGAGATAATGCCATAAAGTGCACCCTCCAAAGCTGCCATTTTATCCCAGGGAACTGATCTCTGACAGGCAGCAGCAGGAGATCCTTGAAGTCAAGTTGCTTCAGTGTGTGTGTGTGTGTGGGGTAAGTTTTAAGAACATAAGAACATAAGAGATGCCAATGTTGGATCAGGCCAAAGGCCCATCCAGTCCAACACTCTGTGTCACACAGTGGCCAGAAATACCAGTGCCATCAGGAGGGCCACCAGGGGGGCCAGGACATTAGAAGCCCTCCCACTGTTGACCCCCCCCAAGCACCAAGAAGACAGAGCATCACTTGCCCCAGAGCCCCTAGCTATACCTTGTGGCTAATAGCCACTGATGGACCTCTGCTCCATATGCTTATCTAATTCCCTTTTGAAGCCATCCATGCTTGTAGCACCCACCACTTCCTGTGGCAGTGAATTCCAAGTGTTAATCACTCTTTGGGTGAAGAAGGACTTCCTCTTATCCGTTCTAACCCGACCGCTCAGCAATTTCATGGAGTGCCCACGAGTTCTTGTATTGTGAGAAAGGGAGAAAAGTACCTCTTTCTCTACCTGCTCTTTCCCATGCATAATCTTATAAACCTCGATCATGTCACCCCTCAGTCGTCTTTTCTCCAAGCTAAAGAGCCCTAAGCGCCTTAACCGTTCCTCATAGGGAAAGTGTTCCAACCCTTTTATCATTCGAGTTGCCCTTTTCTGCACTTTTTCCAAAGCTATAATATCCTTTTTAAGGTGTGGTGACCAGAACTGCACACAGTATTCCAAATGAGGTCTCACCATTGATTTATATAGGGGCATTATTATATTGGCTGATCTGTTTTCAATACCCTTCCTAATAATCCCCAGCATAGCATTGGCCTTCTTTATTGCAGTCACACACTGTCTCGACATTTTCAGTGAGTTATCCACTACAACTCCAAGATCTCTCTCTTGCTCAGTCTCTGCCAGTTCAGACCCCATCAATGTGTATTTATATTTAGGATTTTTGGCTCCAATGTGCATCACCTTGCACTTGGCCACATTGAACCCCATTTGCCATGTTGACGCCCACTCGCCCATCCTTGACAGATCCCCTTGGAGTGCCTCACAATCCTCACTGGTTTTCACCACCCTGAACAACTTTGTATCATCCGCAAATTTAGCCACTTCACTGCTTACTCCCATCTCCAAATCATTAATGAACAAGTTAAAAAGCAGTGGACCAAGTACTGATCCCTGCGGTACCCCACTGCTTACCACCCTCCACTGAGAAAATTGCCCACCTACACTCACTCTCTGTTTTCTATGAACTAGCCAGTTTTTGATCCATAAAAGGACTTGTCCTTCTATCCCATGATTTTTGAGCTTACTTAGGAGCCTTTGATGAGGAACTTTATCAAAAGCTTTCTGGAAGTCAAGGTAAATAATATCTATTGGATCCCCCTTGTCCACATGTTTGTTCACCCCCTCAAAGAACACTAACAGGTTAGTGAGACAAGATCTTCCCTTACAGAAACCGTGCTGAGTCTGCCTCAATAGGTTTTGTTCATCTATGTGCCTACTAATTCTTTCCTTAATAATGGTTTCCACCAATTTACCCGGTATCGACGTCAGACTGACTGGCCTGTAATTTCCCGGATCTCCTCTGGAACCCTTTTTAAAGATGGGAGTGACATTAGCTACCTTCCAATCCTCAGGAATGGAGGCAGATTTTAAGGAAAGATTACATATCTTTGTCAGGAGATCTACAAGTTCACATTTGAGTTCTTTCAGAACTCTCGGATGTATGCCATCTGGGCCTGGTGATTTTTCAGTTTTTAAGTTGTCTATCAGTTTTAGGACCTCCTCTCTCGTCACCTCAATCTGACTCAGGTCTTTCAACACCCCTCCTGAAATCAGTGGTTCTGGAGTGGGCAAGCACTTCTCATCTTCCACAGTGAAGACGGAGGCAAAAAATGCATTTAGCTTCTCAGCCATTTCCCTATCATCCTTCAATACTCCTTTTACCCCTTGGTCGTCCAAGGGCCCCACTGCCTCCCTGGCTGGTTTCCTGTTTCTAATGTATTTGAAGAAAGTTTTATTGTTGGTTTTTACGTTTTTTGCTATATGCTCCTCATATTCCCTTTTTGCCTGCCTGACCTCAGACTTGCATTTTATTTGCCATAGCCTGTGTTCCGTTTTATCAGCCTCACTGTGACTAGCTTTCCACTGCTTAAAGGAATTCTTTTTACTTTTTACAGCCTCCATTACTCTGTTTGTTAACCATGCAGGCTTTTTCCTATACCTTTTTGTGCCTTTCCTAACCTGCGGAATATATATTTTTTGAGCTTCTAGGATCGTAGTTTTAAATAGATCCCAAGCTTCCCCAATTTTTTTGACCCTTTCTACTTTTCCTTTCAGTTTCCTCCCCACGTGTCCCCTCATATCAGAGAAATTACCCCTTTTAAAGTTAAAAATGGTTGTGTGAGTCTTTTTGGCCAATTCTCTATTTGTACAAATGATGAACTCAACAACATTATGATCACTGTTTCCAAGTGGTGCAATCACTTTTACATCTCTCACCAGGTCTTGAGTGTTACTTAGGACCAAATCAAGGATCGCCTCTCCCCTGGTAGGTTCTGTGACCATCTGCTCCATAGCACAGTCATTTAGAGTGTCTAGAAACTCAATCTCTTTCTCTCGACTAGAACACATATTGACCCAATCAATGTGTGGATAGTTAAAATCACCTATTATGACACAGTGTTTTTGTCTAGCTGCTATCTTTAATTCATTCATCATTTTATAATCCTCCTCTATCTTTTGATCTGGTGGGTGATAACAAACTCCCAGTGTTAAGTTTCCTTTTGGCCCCCCTATTTCAACCCATAGAACTTCCAGAAGCGAATTCAATTCTCTTAGTTTTGGAGAGCAGCAGGCAAGCAGGGGGAATGCAGCCTGCAAGGGAAAAAATGGTACAGCAGGGCAGGCATTGGGCGGAGAGGGCAACACAAAGTCCCACCCTATGTTGTTCAGGATTGGACTACCTCACACATGTATGGAATCCAAGAGGTTGCAGCTTGCAGTCAATCAAGGAAGCTCAGATCCTCTCTCCCCTCCCTCCCCCAAGGATCTCTCTTCATGTTCTTATTAGGAATATGCTACCTGTCTTGTGAAACCAGTAGAGGGCAGAGACAGCAATAACGAAAGAAACCAGGACAAAATGACAGGAAATAATTTCCCCTCCCATTATAGCAGGGCTATAGCTAGCACAGGACCCGTGAGGCAACACCCCTCATAAATTCTCAATGCCCTCCGAATCTGAGAGCCCGCACTGCCCTCTCCGTGCTCTCCGCCCCTTCACCTGCTTGTTGTGGATGCTGCGTGGCACCAGGATGGGCTGGAGAGCCCTCCTGCTGCATGGATACCAGGCCTCGCCACGGGCGGACCCCAGGCAGTGCATCTGCCAACAGTGGGATTCATTTAATGGATCTCGTAACTTCCTCTCATGTGCGCTGCCAAAGCCCGGACAAGCATGATCGAAGCACCCCCATGGGACCTGAAGGCTTCCCAGCGCAGCGGCAGTGGCACCCACATGCCACAGAGGAGCCAGCCATTGTTGTAATTATTGTAATAATAAAAGGAATGCAGGAAACTGTGGGTAACTGCAATGTGATCTGAGAACCACCCAGGAAATGCTATAACCAGAGACCATCTGCGTGCAAAGCAGGCACTCTGTCACAGAGCCGCAACCCTTCTTGCAGCCAGTGGTGCTAAAGTGAATGGTTACTCTAATTTGCTTTGGGGTAAATTCCTACCGCAGTTTCACTTATGTGGCAGAATGCACAGAGAAGCACCTCTACAACCTTTACCTCTAAGAAAACTGTCACTCAAAAATAACTAAATAACATTCCCACAATACAACTACTTGCCACTTGCATTTTTGTTTCTATATATAAAAAAGCCCCTGGATTACCTAACAAACTTGGAAATGTACTTATTTTATTTTACTTTTGGGGTGCTTTTCTACCCCAGCCTATTAAATGTGTGCATGGGAAGTATTATTTTAAGTGTTCTGGGAGATATGAAGCCCTTCCAGATAACTGATTTCCTTTCCTGATAATCTAGAGAACGTCTACCTCAGGGGACCCCAGCATGGTGCTCTCCAAGTACTTTTGGAAAGCGGGTGGGCCTAGGTGGGTTTTTTTCCCCATGAGGGCTTCTGATTGGCTGTGCAGATTTACAAGGCATCCTGTTAAACAGGGCTTCTGCCTGAATGGTTGAAGAGTTGATGAGTGACATTTTGTGGTTGGCTTTGCTTCCTGCGGCATCAAATCCAAAGGTGCCCACAGAATTCCACAGGCTCAAAAGGGCGGGGGACCCCTCATCTATCTCAAGACACAGAGAGGTGTTCTTGGGGTAGAAAAATACTCCAGATTGACAACAAAAAGTACTGTTTTTAATGTTATTATTAATGCTTTTTTTTTTTTTGCCTGTGGCTCTGGTTATCTGGGTGTTGTAAAACACAATATCTTTTGCCACCACAAACACCTTTTTTTATGGAACATTTTTCTACACCAAGATACAGTTGCATTTGTCTTGTGGTAGAAATATTCCCCAGAATACAATGGATGTCAGTTTCTTTCAGAGTGCTGGTAAGTCAAAGAAGAGAGAGAAACTGCCCACTAAGGGCACAGGCGAAAAGCAAGCATAAAACATTCTAAAATATTTTGATGTGTTCAGGGGGGGGGAGTTGGAGGGGGGGAGCTGTGGAACACCAGGGTGGAAGAAGGGTGTAGGATGAGAGGGGCTAGAAGGAAATTTCCTGCCCTGCCCCCTTTCACACATTGATATCCCCTGGCCCTATTTTCGGGAGGGTAGAGAAGTTGAAGGAGCTGTGGTTGCTCAGTGGTTAAGATGCTGAACTGCAGGCTGGAAGGTCGGTAGTTCAGCAGTTCAAGACCTGAGTGCCACATGATGGAGTGAGCGCCCGTCTCTGGTTCCAGCTCCTGCCAACCTAGCAGTTCGAAAGCAAGAAATTGCAAGTAGATAAATAGGTACCACTTCAGTGGGAAGGTAACAGTGTTCTGTGCACCTCGACGTCTAGTCATGCCGGCCACATGACCACGGAAATGTCTTCGGACAGCGCTGGCTCTTCGGCTTTGAAACGGAGATGAGCACCGCAACCCTAAAGTCGGATTTGACTGGCTTTCGGGCAGGGGAACCTTTACGTTTACCTTAGAGAAGTTGGGCCCCAAGCTTGCTGGCCCAGTGTGGCCCAATGTCTTCAGATCTTGAAAGCTAAGCAAGATTGGTCCTGGTTAGTACTTAGATGGGAGACCCCCAAGGAAGCCCAGGGTTGCTACACTGAGACAGGCAATGGCAAACCATGTCTGCTCATCTCTTGCCTTGAAAGCCCTACAGGGTTGCCATAGATTGGCTGTGACTTGAGAGCACTTTCCACCACCACCACCAGAGCAGCTGGAGAAAGTCCTTTCCCATCAGCTGTACTTGGTGGGGCCACTGGATATACCACCCCACCAAAGACTTAAATGGGAAACAGGCTTTTAGTTTTTTTATTTAATAACTGCTTTCTAAAGAATATTAGGGACTGGGGTTTAGTCACTGAAGCTTTACTGAAATCTTTCCCCAAACTTTGGAGCAAAGTCATTTTGAGAAAGATCATAGAAAGCCAGGGAAACTCCCGGAGGTTCATGAATGTACCATGATGCTGTAGGGGTGGGGGATTTGCTTCTGGAAATCATTGAATGCTGGGCAGATAGCCCATGTGGAAGACGCCTCAGTGGGATAGCAAGACTAATGAACAACCTTCTCCGCCCAGGATGGAGGAGGCAGGGTGGATCCTCCACAGCCACCACCTTACCACAACCCCCTCCCCCGCATGCTGGTAGTGGCCTCTGGCCCTGCCTGAAAATGTTACAGCACCACCTAATGGACCTTATTTCCTTTGTCCCTCCTCTGATATCTCAAAAGGGCCACAGCAGGGAGGGAGGGGAAGGAACATCTCCCCATTAGCCCGGCCCAAACTGCCAAGTATTGTTAAGGTGATGTTAAGAAGAAGGGCCCTTGTGACGGGTTTAGGTTTTGGTCAAGCTAACAAAATAAGTTATTATAAAAATACAAATATTTATTGTGGTCAGTGTTCCCTCACATATACTGATAAAAATCTTTATCTAAGTATCAGACTTATAAAAACTTATCAAATACTAATACATGTGATGGGTAAACACGTTGTTTAGCCTCTAGCTCACACATTTTTGTATTAGCTCAGGAAGGATGGCTCCAGAGCAGACTCATTTATGCAGTAGCCAAATTACTGCTCATAGCTTTAATGCCAGTAGCTCACAAAGTGGAATCTTTGCTCATAAGACTCTACAGCTTAGAGGGAACATTGGTGTACACATTCGTAAAAGATAAAATAGGTTAAAGGAAATTATCCAAATATCAGGCTCTTAAAACTTTTTACCCACAGGGCTGAAAGTTTTACATATACAATTAATGGGTATATCTTATAACCAGTAGACCATATGCATTTCGGCCCCTTAGGGCCTTCCTCAGTGGTCAATATTACTATTGTAAAACAACACACATCCAGAAATAAACAGGGCTATTTTTGGGCAGGAACTCACAGGAACGGAGTTCCGGCTGGCTCCTGAGTTGGAACTCATTAGCATAATAGGCCACACCCAACAGTAGAAACTCATTAGGATTGGCTACATTAGGGGTGTGTAGCCTAACATGCAAAGGGTTCCTGCTACAAAAAAAAGCCCTGGGTTTTGACAACAAACAAGGTAAACAGAATAAGAAGCAAAAGGTGGGTATGGCTGGATGACCACACTTCTGGTAACATGGGGTGTGGCCTAATATGCTAATGAGCTGCTCTCAGGGTTTGGCCTAATATGCTAATGAGTTTCTGCTGTTGAGTGTGGCCTATTATGCTAATGAGTTCCTGCTGGGCTTTTTCTACAAAAATAGCCCTGGAAATAAATATATGAACAATAATCTCTCATGGTAACTGTACATGCTCTCCAAATTGTTCTGGTAACAAATATCCAATATGTCTGGATGTGTGTCTCTTCCATCAAAGGTCGTAATCATGAGAGATTATCCATGGCCTACTATGTAAACTTTTAGCAATTGCACATCACATGAGAAAGCAACACCTGACTCTAAAGAAAATATTTGTTCATATATTTATTTCTGATAGTTGGATCAGTTCTTTTAACCTATTTTAACTTTTATTAATGTGTACGCCATAATAAATATTTGTATTTTTATAATAACTTGTTAGCTTGTCCCTCATATATCACAGCCATAACTTGAGTTAAGTCCCCCCCCCTTTTCTCTGGGTTTTGGTTGTGGGTCAGAGAAAGAAGGGTGCAGCCGCCAATCCTATTTCCCTGAGGGGGAGCCAAGAAGCTTTATGGTTGTTGTGGAGCTTCCATGGAGCTCAAGGTAAGGCAGTGACAGGCTGGGCTTTTCCCCTTAGCTTGAATCCTTGTCTTTGGTGGAAAAGCCAACCTTGTCTCCCAAAGCAATCATATAAGAGTTGGACTGATTATTAGAGCCTGGGGGTGTAAGTGAGGAGGAGGAGGAAGAGATAAGATTTATACCCTGCCCTTCACTACCCAAAGGAGTCTCAGAGTGGCTTACAATCTCCTTCAATTCCCCTCCCCACAACAGACACCCTGTGAGGTAGGTGGGGCTGAAAGAGCTCTTTCAAGAACTGCTCGTGAGAGAACAGCTCTGAAAAAACTTGTGTCTGAGTCAAGGTCACATCAGCAGCTGCATGTGGAGGAGTGGGGAATCAAACCCAGTTCTCCCAGATTAGAGTCCACACTCCCCTAACCACTACACCAAATTCAAGTTTCTGAAGCACCACTGGAAAGCATTTAAGACAAAGGGAACTGGCATGTATCCATCAGTCCTCAGACTGCTACAGCCCACAGAGTCCCTGCTGGAAATGTTGTTAAAACTGTTGACTTGATAACCTTGGTTTGTTGTTTAATTCTGTTTTTGCATAGCTTAAAACATCTGCATCATGTTACATGTTAATTTGCTGTTCAGCACGTCTGTAAGTTTGAACCTTACCTCCCATTCCACTGTATTTGAAAAAATGTCCTTTGCACACGAAAGCTCCTACCTTGAATAAATCTTTGTTTGTCTTAAATGTGTTAGCCCCTGGACTCTAAATGTGTTCTACTGCTTCAGACCAACACGGCTGACTACCTGGCCCTTTCAAAGGTTAGAATTGCCACAGAGTTCCCTCTCCACCTGAACTCCACCCTTCCTAGGCACGGCCCCACCCCAGTTCTTCAGCACTTTCTCAGATCAGAGCTGACAACTCTACCCGGCATTCTTGTTATGGAAGGATGGTCCCTGGAGAGTTAGATTTTTATAATGCAGACCGTTAGATTAATTACTCATTCTATTTCACTGTCACAAAACAGGCAAAATATTGTATATCTCACTAGAACATATTTTACAATGTTTTTGATCCCATGGGAGGGCAGGTCCCAAAGTAACAATTATTTGTAGAACACCAGAAAAATTAGAAATCAAGTTAAGGCATCTAAGAAAGACAAAAAATAAATAAATTACTAGACCCAATGTTTGTGCTCAGTAACAATTAAGATCCTTTCCAAGTCTAGATGAAGAAAATAAAACACTCACCCGCTTGCTAACAGCTGTAGTCTTTTGGTTCAGTTCAGTTTGCTTTTGTCTGCTTCAGTTATCTCTGGTGGTATATATATTGCCCTGTCTTGTGCAACATTAACCACAAAGGCCTAAATCCTTTCCTATCAGGAGGTGCTTGTGGCACAAAGCCAAGATGGTTTCAAGAAGTGGGCTGATTTACAGAAAACCAAATCTTAGCCAAAGGAAGGTGTGTGTGTGTGCGTGCTGAGCTGAAGAGATGCCAAGAGGAAGGAATGTTTCAGCTACTGTCTCAAGGCCAGATGAACAATGGAGAGAGATTCAAGTGGGTAGCCATGTTGGTCTGAAGCAGCAGAACAAAGATGTTTAACAGATGCAAGGACCAAACAGGAATAACAAGCCTAGCTTATATGGTTACCATTTGTTTGGGTTTAACTCCAGGGAAAACATAGTGAAGGAAATAAATATATCAGAATTGGAGAGTGATGACTGAGAGGAGACCAGATGGAGAGTAATAGCAGAGTCTCAGTTGCCCATCAATCTCCAGTTCTGACATTTATTTCCTTCACTATGTCGTCCCCCCCAAATTAAACCCAAACAAATGGTAACCACATAAACTAAGCTTGGTGTATGGTTCTTGAACCTGTTAAACATGTTCATTATCTTGTATGCTAATTTACTTTTCACCCTCTACCTCTATGTATGGACTGTGTTACCACCAATGGCTTGCCTTGTTGTTTGGGGAATTTAGCTATGAGGCAAGAAAAGCCGGAGGGGTACAGGAATCGCACACCACTTGTATACTTAGGATCGGCACAGTAGAAAGACTCCAGATTTGAAGAGTAAATTAAATAGGCTTTATCAAAGTAGTTCCCTAATTACAAGCACACTAAACATTCAAAAGAGCAAGCAGTAAAGAACTAAGAAAGCAGAGGTGATTGATAGCGAATATAGGGATCAGTTATGGGGTGATACAACCTGTTCAGACGTGCAGGGGTCCATGGAGATGAGTTTAGGGCCTAAACCCAGAGGTCTAGGGGTGGACTGCCAGTTAGCATCAGGGCAGAGGCACACAGACTAAGGCCATGTGCTGATGGATATAGACATTGGAAAACAATGCAGACCAATGGAAGATCTTGGGGGCTGGTCTCAGGTGAGAACAATAGATTACCTGGGCCAATGATGAGTCCCAGGGGTGTGTGGCATCAGGATGGGCAAGGCCTAGATGTGACCAATGAGCTCTCAGTGGGGCAGAGTCTGTCTTTAACAATAGAAGCCAGGTGTTTTTTATTTTATTTTTAAAATTTTTATTAATTCAATTTATACCCCACCCTCCCCGTGAGCGGGCTCAGGGTGGCTTACAACATTTGCACAAAATACCAATAAAACCATATAAAATCATTTTAAAACAATGTACCGATGAAACTCATACAATCATAAGGTGCTAGTGATCATTCAGTTCATTACTTATGATGGCGTACTAAGCAGGGGTCATTTCCTGCAGGAGCGCACAGGAACGGAGCTCCGGCAGTAAAGAGCCCAGGGGGCGGGCACATGCAACAAGCCCCACTCCCTGCTCCCAGAAGCCTTCTGTCAGAGTAAGAAGCAGCCAGGTAAATTGCAGAGCCCCCCTGGCCCCCCAGTCTAAAACAGTCCAGTGGCACTTTTAAGACCAAGTTTTATTCGGGTACAAGATCTCCCTCCTCTGCGAGGACAGATCCCCACAATAGCTAGCAATCCAAAACAGTCCAGTGGAGCCTGAGCAGTGGGTGTTGCCTTCTGACACACTTCTGGTGATGTCAGGGGGTGTAGCATAGGCAAATAAGTCATGCTACTGAGTTCTTCTCATGAGCTCCTGCACCTCTTTTTATACGAAATGACCCCTGGTACTAAGGATGACTGTATGAACCTGAATGGGTGAGCATTCACTATACACAGAATGTTAATGTTTACCTTGATAGGTCTGGCAGATAGGTGTGAAACAGGAGAGGAGGATGGAAACATGCAATACACTTCATTTATGACAATAGTACAGACCAGAGGCCTTTTGTCCCTGCCTGTCTGTACATTTGGTCAGTAGAAGATGCCTGGGGCAAGGGCAGAGACTTGCCCATTCTAGTCCTTTTTGGACTGAGCTGACAGGATAGACGTGTGTGTGCGTGGGGCGTTGCTTGCATGGAGAATGCTTGGCAGTACAGCCATCCTGGGGAATTCTCTTTGGCCTTTCTCAGCCAAGATGTGGTTCCCCCCTAGCCTCCCAGCAAACGCCACTGTTTAAGCCAAGCCTGGCTTCATGAGGGCACTGCTTGTGGAGGTTCAGAGTTAGTTTTGGGGTGTGTCTCTCTCAGGAAAGACCACCCTGGGTTCAGGGCTGAGGAGGCTGGCTACAACTGGTAACTTTCATTTCATTGTATTTGAAGAAGAGTGCTTGCACATGAAATCATATACTTTGAGTAAAACTTTGTTGGTCTAAAGGTGCCACTGGACTCAAGCTTTGTTCTAATGGAGAGAGATGTACTTGCAGGACTCAGAGATGTTAAAGGAGCAGACTAGAACCAGTTAACAGTAGCACTGCTTTTTTGCATTTCTTAAATCAACATCGACTGTTATTTGGGTTGTTGTTGATCTGTTCTCTAAACAAGCACACTTTGTCCCTTTCCCTTCTTTGCCAACTGCCCAGGTGTTAGCCAAAGCATTCTTTCTACACGTGGTCCGCCTCCATCTTGTGCCAGCCAAGGTGATTCCAGACCGGGGCACTCAATTCGTCTCTAAGTTCTGGAAGGAACTAATGTCCCTTATGGGGGTGGAGCAAGGTCCCAGCATCTTCAGCTAAAAGGACCAGGTAGTAGGTGATGTGAAAGACTTCTCTTCCTGACACTCTGGAAAGATGCTGCTAGTCTGAGTAACAAAGCTGACTTTGAGGTACCAATGGTCTGGTTCAGTATGAGGTACCTTAATGTGTCCTGTGTCTTGTGTATACCCCAGGAAAAGCATTTTGTGGAGATGCATAAAGCTGTGTTTGGTTATGATAGCCCCCCGCTTCCTTTTCTGGGGGGAGGTGATCCCTTACAGCCTACTGATACGGGGACTTGGTGTGAATCATTGCGCATCTTCAGCTAAAAGGACCAGGTAGTAGGTGATGTGAAAGACTTCTCTTCCTGACACTCTGGAAAGATGCTGCTAGTCTGAGTAACAAAGCTGACTTTGAGGTACCAATGGTCTGGTTCAGTATGAGGTACCTTAATGTGTCCTGTGTCTTGTGTATACCCCAGGAAAAGCATTTTGTGGAGATGCAGTGGGAGGGGAAGACAGGAAAGTTTCATTCTGCCATTGGAAAGTTTCGTCTGGATTCATCCCCTTATGCTTAGAGCGATCCTTTTTGTCACCCACTTTTCAGCACCAGGACCTTGTGGGGCTCCCTTTGGAAGAGGCTGAGCTGCAGCCAAATAATACCACAGATGTGACATTGGGGGCTTCAGGAGGACTGAGGAGAAAGGTGAGGCAAGCCATATTCTTCCCCTGAGCTCAGAGGCAGCTCAACGCTCAGGTGCCATCTGATGCCGCTGACCGCAGTCACCACTGCTCACTTTTAACTTACGTCTTAAACCAAACCTACATATCCTACATTGCTGACAACCTGCAGTTCGGGTATGTGAGCCCCACTCCCTGGACCGTATTTGTGTTCCCGCAGTATGCCTACTGCACTGCCCATTGCTTGAACCAGCCCGACTACAGGCCGCACCACCCCTTCTGGTGCATCGAGTCCCTGTCATATATGGTCCTGAGATGTGGAGGCACCTTGGAGTAGGACTACAACTTCCCACTGTAGAGACCTGGCAACCCCCTCCTGTGTCAGTCCTGGTCTACGGGAATGGGACTCTGGCAGAGTTGGAGGAACACCGAAATTCAGGGCAATGCTACTAATGCCCTGCTTAACAGGGACAGCCTGAGCCTGGGCCCGCCCAAGAACACCCTGCACATAGGCCTGTATCCGGGAATGGTGTGGGATGACAGGACCATCCTGTACCAGGGCCCAATCTGGTGTAAGAAACCGGACATGGAAGAACACACCTAGTGCGACCTAGTGCACGCAGGCAAGATGGTGTTTGCCACTTGCTTTTAAACGTGGATCTATTCTCATGTATGGGGATCTAACAGCTGCCCCCACAAATCTCTTTTAAGATCAGCTCCTTGGCTACCACAAGCCCTTGCTCAGACATGGAGGAACCGCTGCTCAGGGGTCTTGAGATGTTCATGCCACAGGAGTTTTCCTTTATGGTTACCTAAACCATCAAATGCGAGGGTGTTATCCATACCACCCAACAATGCAACCCAGTGCCACTGGTGCAGATAGTCTACCTGTCTCAAGGGAGGAGATGAGGAGATAAATGCCTGGATGAGGAGGGTGCCATTTGTTCCAGATAATGAAGGAGACTTCATCAATTGGGCCCTCTCAGGAGGGAGGGGGTACAGGCCAAGATTTATTTATTTATTATTTGATTTTTAGCCCTCCCTCCCCTGCGCGGCAGGCTCAGGGCAGGTTACAATATACCAAAAAAAAAAAAAGGAAAAAGGAAAAAAAGAACAGCATTTAAAACATAGATAATCAATTAAAACCTGGCCTGTAGGGTTATTCGAGGCTCTGCCCCATTTCTTAAAGGAACAGCCCCATAAGATTTTCTCCAGAAAATTCTCTCCCCGCCTGCCTCGGCTTTTCAGTTCCCATGACTGACCTTTTATTCCCCCAAAAAACTTTTTTTAAAAAAGCACAGATGGGTCTTCTTGGCTGTGACTCACAAGGTGACCGAGAGTGACCCCCCTTCCCGGCAGCATGTTACTTCTGTTCCCATTCAGAAGTTTCCTTTCTCCTTTTCCCATGCTCGCTCGAGCTGCAAGTTTCATTGGGCACGTTGATCTAGGGAGGGGGAGGGTTGAGCGGTTTATGAGTGAGGCTGATAACAAAAGGACTTTTGGAGGTCATTAGTTCATAGGGCTGTCCAGGGGTCATTTTGTAGAAAAAGAGGTGCAGGAACTCATTAGCATAA